TCCATAGAAAGTTGCACTGCCAGTCCAAAGGCTGTGCCTTTCTAGGGGTTTAAACCCACCACCATCTCTTTAGTAGAAGATTGGCAGCCTCCTTCAGTTTGGTTTATAGCCTTAAAATCCCAGTAGAAGGTCAGCTATGAGGTGATTACAACTTGGTGGCAATGAGAGGGATGAATATAGCTGATAAAAGAGAAAAATAAAGAAGAGAAAGGTTTTCTTTAAAGCTAGGAAGTAGAAATTTTATGAAGCAGGAAGAGAGAATTTTAAAATTTTAGGGACCTAAATGGCTACATTATTTGGCTTCAACTATATGTAAACCAAGAGGCTGTTGTGTGGATAAAGTAAAGGAATATTGTTGGCTTAAAGTTTGGAAAGGTGTGCGTCAGGGTAGTATCCTTTCTCCATACTTATTTAGTGTATATGTTGTTGTTAAGTGCCATCGAGTTGTAGACGACTCACAGCAACCCTGTGAATGAAAGTCCTCAACACTTGTGTGACATTCATCCTTTCTACAGGTTCATAGGGTTTTTGGAGGCAAGCTATTTACGGAAGTGTATGCCACTCTTGCTTCCAAATACATAGTCTTTCCTGTTACTAGCTATGCATCTGAGACCTGGACAGTGAATAAGGATGACAGAAAAAGAATTGATGGCTTTGAGCTGTTTTGTTGGACGAGAGCACTGAACATCCCATGAACAGCCAAGAGAACGAATAGATATGTCTTGAAGACGGTGGAGCCAAATTGCTCTTTGGAGGCAAGAATGATGAGGCTTCACCTCACATACTTTAGACATATTGCTAGGAGGTACTATTCCTTGGAAAGAGATATGATGTTGGGAAGGTTGTACGGTTGGTGAAGAAGACCCTCAACCAGGTGAATTAACATGATGGCTGCTGCATTGGGCTCTTGTGTGTCAGGAAGTGTTGACGCAGGACAGGTCTTGGTTCAGATCTTTTGTTCATAGGGTCGCTATGAGTTGTACTCGACTCAACGGCACCTAACAACAACAACACAGCATCAAGTCAGAACCATTGCATAGCTTACCCTCCATTGGGTTTTCAAGGGGGTAAATCACAGAGGAGGATTTGAGAAGCTGGACTCTGAAGAAAAAATGTGGCATCAGGATCAGAAGAGGATTCATTAATAACCTTCATTATGCAGGCGACACAGCCTTGCTTGCTGAAAGTGAGAAGGACTTGAAACATTTGCTGCAGAAGGTTAAACACTGTAGTCAATGTTTAATGCATCTCAACATCAAGAAAACAAAAATCCTCACAACTGGACCAATAGGCAATATATCAGAATGGACAGAGAAAGATTAAGACTGTCAACGACTTCATCTTACTTGGGACCACAGTTATTTCACTTGGTACCAATACCAACATTCAGGAGATCATGAGATGCACTGGGAAAGTCTGCAACCAGGGTCCTCTCCAAATTATTGAGGAGTAATGATGTCAGTTTGAGGACAAAGATGTATCTGATTCAGGCCAGATCTTATCAGTCACTAGCTATGCATCTGAGAGCTGGAGAATGACAAGGGATGACAAAGACATAATTGAACTGTGGTGTTGGAGAAGAGCGCTGAATATACCATGGACTGCCCAAAGAACAAACAGATATATCTTGGAGAAAATGCAGCTGGAGTGCTCCTTAGAGGCAAAGATAATGAAGCTTCTCACATACTTTGGGCAAGTTGCTAGGAGGTTATTCCTTAGAGAAGGACATCATGCTTGGGAAAGTGGAGGCAGAGCGAAAGAGAGGAAGACCCTCAATCAGGTGGGTTGACACAGTGACTGCAGCAGTGAACTTGAGTGTGTCAGAGATTGTGACCACCATGTGAGAATTGATTATTGGAGGGCATATGCAGAAACCAGACTAGTTAAGATGCTATTGCAATGAAATTGCTAAGAGAAGAAGGGAAGTTGGGTCAAGGGACAGTGCTGGCAGTGGTGAGACATGGTTCAACTCTTGATATCTGTTAAATGTATAGTCAGCAGAATGTTTTGAATGTGCACTATGTTACAAACAGGATTCAAGCATAACTTCATCATTTTTGCTTAGGCTGCTAGAGCAATGAAAATGCCATTTTTGCCATTTACTGAGATGGGGTGCTCTGCTAGTCTTCAGTACGGCTTGAAGCTCAACATCAAGAAGACAAAAATTCTCCTCACTGGGCCAGTTGTCAGCACCATGATAGATGAAGAAGAGATTGAGTCTCCTGAATTAATCACTTTCAGTTGTAGATGCTGAATTTTGGTTCCCTTGCCTTATGTGCCTTAGAAACTTTCAAAGCTCAATAATTGATGTCTGAAGGAATTTAAAATTTATGATCACCCCACATCCACTGCCAGCAAGTCAGTTCTGACTCACAGGGGTCTTCCATCACATTTCTGATGCTGTAAATCTTTATAGGAAGAGACTTCCCATCTTTATTCATAGAAACAGGTAGTGGATTCAAACCAGTGACCTTTCTGTTAGTAGCCCACACTGTGCCACTCTTGTAATAAGCAAAACATCTTGGAGCTGTGATAATGAAAGTGCTGTTGTAGAGAGCTATTAGATGTCAGCTAGCAGATCAGACTGGCAACACCATCTTAACATTCCTGAATTCCTTTTCCTTTTTTTTTTTAATTTATTCATTGTTGCACATCTTCTCTTCTTCCCTCCTCCTCCCCTAGCCTACCTCACAATACACCTCTTGTTCCAGATTATTCTCTTAGATATAATGCATAATCATATGTTCCTTTCAGTTCTTCCCCTCTTCAGTTCTAATGCAGTGTTCATTATCTCTCCTTTCCCCATTCTTTCTCCAGCACCCCCATATCGGTCCTATTTTATAACAGCAGTATTATGCAGTATTTATTGTTTTGTAACTGAGCTATGTCCCTAAATGTAATGTCTTCAAGGCTCCCGCATGTTGGTTTTTTGTTTGTTTGTTTTTTGAAGAGGAAGCATTTTTACATTTATTTAGGTCTTTTATTGTGTCTCTCAGAAATGTTCTGCAGTTTTGGTTTTTTGGTTTTGTTTTTGTTAGGTCCTTTGTGTCTCTAGTTAGGTTCATTCCCAAGTATCTCAATTTGTGTTTGGCTATTTGGAAATGCTATTGTTTTCTTGGTTTCCTTCTCTAAGTTCTCTTTGTTATTGTAGAGGAATCCCACTGACTTTTGGATATTGATCTTGTATCCTACTACTGTGCTAAATTGGTCTGCTAGCTCTAACAGTTATTTTGTTAAGTCCTTGAGGTTTTCTGTATGCACTGTCTTATCATCTCCATATATCAACACTTTAATCATCACTTTGCCTATCAGGATGCCTTTTATTTTCTTCTTTCGTGCTATTTCTCTAGCAAGGTCTTCCAATACAGTACTGAATAGATGTGGTGACAAGGCTCCCCGATGTTGTGTAATGGTTTACTATTTGATTGTTTTTTCAATGCTGCATAGTATTCCATTGTGTGGATGTACCATAGTTTTTCTATCCATTTGTTTATTGATGGGCACTTAGATTGCTTCCATCTCAGGGATTCTAGGCATTTCCATAAGTGTTCCCTAAAAAAGAGTTGCTATTACAAGGGGTGAGACTGAGCTTAGGTAGTGACATTTATGACATATTAATAAATCATTATTCCACCAGCTTTTAAAAATTTTTTAATTCTAGGAAGAAAATAGTTAATGATTGTTTTGCCTGGAAATGTTGGAAAATAAAATGTTAATTTAAAAAAAAAAAAACACAGGAAAAACTTCGAAATTTTCCAGAGCATTTGGAAAAAATTGCTTTGACACTTCCTTCCTGGAAATATAGTAGAAAATTATCAAATTGTGAGCATAAGTAGATTTAGATATACTATAGTTCTGAATAAAATTTTGGTTTTAGAAAGAAAGCTATCTTATTATATTGATTTCTTTCTATAGAAGTGTTATGATTTTAGCCTTTCTAAATTTCTCCTTTTGAAATTCAAAATAGTTCTTTTTATCTTAAATGCCTTTCCCTTTTAAAATATCAGGGTTTCTTGGGACATTTTATGTATGCATTGCAGAAGGATAAAAATTGCCTTTGTGTTTGTATGATTGACTTGCCCTCAAACAGTGTTTGTTCTTCAGAGAGAAAACCCATCTTGAAATTATTTATTCTTCATGCCTAAAATAACCTCCGGTAATAAAAAAAAAACTGGAACATTTAACTCCTTGTTCCATAAAGGCTAAAAACAGAAAAGGAACCTTTCAGCAAAATGTATATTGTAAGATCTCCCACTTGGGAATAAGATGAAAGTTTTATGGAATAAAGCCTTCTAAAATTGTATGAAAATAGTTGTAATATAATGATGAACTCTAAAACAGTATTGATTTAGTTACACTTGATTAAATTATTTGCTCTCTAGTTTTCATTTTTAAAACAGAAATCCCAATATAACACAGTGATTGAAGTGTTTGACTGCTAATCAAAAGGATTTAAACTTACCAAGCATAATGTTGGAGAAAGATCGGGCAGTTTTCTCATGTAAAGCCTTTGCTGTTATGTACCATCTAGTTCAACAGCTGTGAACCCACTTCTATCTTGAGCCAACCTCATTGTCTCTGACATACCTACATGCATTACCTCAGTCACTGAATTAATCCATCTCATCCAAGGTCTTCCTCTCTTGCGCTGGTCCTTCCCCCTTCTAAGCATGATGCCACTCTTTAAGGACTGGTCCCTCTTTGCAACGTGCCCAAGTATGTCAGATGGAGCTTCAGAATCCTTGACTCCAAGGAGCAGCCTGGTTTCACCCTCTCCAGCATGAACCAGTTTGTTCTCCTAGCAGACTATGTAAAGGTTTACAGGCCTGGAAACCCTGTGGGGCCCTTCTACTCTATGCTGTAGGCTCACAACGAATTGGAATCTACGTAATACCAGTGGATTTGGATTATTTTTTTTAACCTTTAGTTACACATTTCCAGGTTAAAGAAAGCTACAAATTGGTGACAATAGCATTTTGAACTTTGGATAATTTTTGGTAATATTTTCCTTAATGATCTCCTGCATAGTTTCTGATGAAGAACAATCAGTAGTATATGTTCCAGGTATGACTGTCTTTATGTTAATGTGGCAAGCTTCCTTTGCTCATAGTGTGTTAGGAGAAAATCAAACATTAGGGCAACTTTGTTTTTATAATTGGATCATAGCTGTCCATCAGCACCTGAATTTTGTTTTTAGAATGTTTGGCATGACCCTTTTAAGGCTTGAAGTAATGTCTCTGTTGCTTGCTGGACAAGTCAGCTTTTTTTTTAAAAAAAAATAATAATATAAAGTTTTTCTTTTATACTGATTTACTTACACAGTTCGTATATATTATTTTTGACAAGTCAGCTTTTGATGCGGTTGTGGAATACTTTATTCATGTATTAAGGACTGAGAAAAATCCTTCCTTTAAAAAATATAATGAAAATAAAAAACATGAAAATAGCCCAAATTTAATATTTCAAAGAAAAGTATATATACTTATTGATACAGAGGTTATATAAGAGATTCTTTAAAGTTGATTGGTTATTATTAGATGAGTAGAAAAATTGAACCTTTGGAACCACACTAAATAAAATGAAGAATAAGACCAATAAAATCCTCTCAGTTAAAGTATCTCTCTTATGTTGTTGTTTATTGTTTATTGTGAATGCTCACAGCATTTCAATGGAATACTTGGTGTATTCCTTTAAAGTAACCTTTTCATGGTTCATTGTTTTGTTAGGGAAACTTTAAAAGGAGTTTTATAAAGTTGTACAGTTCCCTCTCAGTTCTCATAAAGCAGACTATTAAGGAAGAGGCTAATGCAGAGAGAGTGTAAGACAATGAGAAGACATAATTTTGAAATCTTGTTTGATGGAAATCTTTAGGAGTTACTGCAGAAAGAACTATCCGGTCAAGACACAAGTTGAGTCCAAAAGCTGCTGCTAAACCTAGGATTTCCAGAGTGGCTGCTCCTTCAGCCTCCATGGAGTCTTTAAAAGGTGCAGGAGATTCAGCAAGTGAACAGGTCAGTCATTTGTTGTGCTTTTCTCTGCTCTTAGAGATAACTCTTATTCTGTTCTATTTAGTAACTGTGATAAGGTAGAAGAGCCCTGGAAAGTGCTCTAGATAGTAAGAAAACCTTATGACAGGTTTTTACTTCTTTAAAGAGATTTGATGTTGGTTGATTGGAATAGAAAATATGCAGATTATCCAAGAGTTGGTTTTTTTGTTTGTTTGTTTGTTTGTTTTAAATTTTGTTTGTGTGTATATGTATGTGCTGTCAAATCGGGTCTGACTGATACAGGAGGAGATTGCCCCTCCTTCTCCATCAGAGCATCTGGTGGATTCAAACTGTGCACCTCTGGTACTGCAGTGCAGCTTCTTGCCACTAGGCCACCAGAGCTCCCTTATCCAAGAGTTTTGTTCTAAAAATATCTAAGCTTACCTCAAGTTTTAACTAAAGAAACTAGAGTTTTGTTATGGCTTCGAAAACCCCAGTCTTGCTCTCTGTCAAGGTAAGATATATAAATTTGGTAACAGTTTTTTCAGAAATCTTTTCTATTTTGTGAATTTGTTCCTTGATGATACATTAAGCCCTGCTTATAAGATAGATGCTTTATTAAAAGCAAATTTTGTTCTTTTGCTGAATAAAACCTTAAAGACTCTTACATTTTCTGGACTAGTCATTAATCTCCCTAATCTTTACTTCTTTAGTAGTGTCTGTACATGTCCTGTTCTGACGCTTGTCCTGTCTAACTCGTTTATTTTGTGTTACTTTGTTTTGATTATTTCTGCTACCAGAGTTTAAGTCACAGTTTGACAGCCTGACGTGTGGGTTGAATCTTGCCCTGTGCTTTTAATATAATTTTATTGAACACTGTCTCATACTCAAATCTTTATATGTCATTTATAGCTGCTTTCTTATTACAGTGACACTTATTAAGAGAGTGTGTGGTCAACAAAACTGAAAATGTTTACTTTTGAACATTTAGAGAAAAAAGAGGACATTTTTAACATCTAGTTTGTTGCTAAAGATTATGTTTACTAATTTACATAATTGAACTGTGCTCACTTGACCTATTTGTGTTAACTCTTATCCAGATCTGAATCTACCTCACGCTGGGGTGTGACTGGTTTACTTTGTAAGTTCTTATTCTAAATTGGAAATGTTTGCTTTCTTGGGTTTTGCATTTTTTTGTTTGCTTTTTTTCCTTGTACAATGGCCAGTATTACTTTGAGCGATAGTTTTCTTTTGAATTAAACTCTTTATTTTATTCTGTTACCTCATTTGTTGGTTTAAGTTATATTTTACCCATAGTTTAAGAATCTTTCAAAAATATACTCATTTCAATATTTTGTGATATTGTTTTATACATTTTACATCTACCTTACAGAGTTTTTTTATCTTTGCTTTAAACTACATATCTTTTTTAAAAAAATTGAGACAAAAATTTACATATCATACAATTGACTTTTATGCAGTCCAGTGGTTTTGTGTATCCACAGAGTGATAGATTATCTCTACGAACTAATTCCAGAACATAGCGTCACTCCAAGTGAAAACTTGACCCTGTCGATGTCTCTTCAACCCCTCTTGTTTTTAGACAATGAGATATGCTTCCACTCATAGCAGCCCTATGTACACTTTCTCCAACATGTATCTGTTTAGTCTTTTGGCCATCATTTTTTGGTGGTGATGGTTGTTAGGTGCCGTCAAGGCAAGCATGACCCATAGTGACCTTATGAACAAAAGATCTGAACCCTGTTCTATCCTGCACCATACTTACACTTCCTGACACACAAGAACCCATTGCAGCAGTCACCATATCAGTCTACCTGGCTGAGTGTCTTCCTCTGCTTATCTGACCCTCCACCCTTCCTAGCATCATATCCCTATATAGCACCTCCTAGTAACATACCAGAAGTGCATGAGGCGAAGCCTCATTTTTGCCTACAGAAGGCACTCTGGCTGTTCCCTTTCTAAGATATATATCTGTTTGTTCTCTTGGCTATCAGTGGGTTGTTCAGTGCTCTTCTCTAACACCACAGCTCAAAGGCATCAGTTCTTTATCTGTCATCCTTATACGTTGTCCAGCCCTCTCATGCATAACAAGTAATTGGAAGGACGATGGCCTGAATCAGATGCACCTTAGTCCTCAAGTTGACGTCACTGCTTCTCAATAATTTGGAGATGCTCTTAACTGCGGATTTTCCGATTGCAATGCATCTCCTTATTTTGTGACTTCTGGTACCACAAGGATGTTAATTATGGATCCAAGCAAGATGAAGCTGTTGACAGTTTCAATCTGCTCTCCATCATAATACTGCCTATCAGTCCAATGCTAAGAATCTTTGTTTTCCGGACATTGAGAGGCAATCCTTACTGAAGGCTGCATTCCTTAATCTTCTGCAACAGGTGCTTCAAGCCCTCATTTTTAACAACGAAGGTTGTGTCATCTGAGGTTATTGATGAGTCTCCCTCTAATCCTGATGCCACATGCCTCTTCATATAGTCTAGCTTCTTGGATAATTTGGTCAGCATACAGATTGAACAGGTATGGAGAGAGACAACAACCCTGGCACACTTCCTTTCTTCCCATTTCCAAACCATGAAGTGCTCTCCTGCTTTGTTCACACAGCAGCCTACTCGTCCAGGTATAGGTTTCACATGAGCACAATCAAATGCTCTGGGATTCCCATTCTTCTCAATGTCAGCCACAACTTGTCATGATCCACACATAATCAATAAAGCACAAATAGACATTATTCCTTACTTTCAGCCAGGCTCCATCTGACATCAGCAATGATATCCCTTGTGCCATAGCCTCTTCTGAATCCTGCTTGAACTTCTGGCAGTTCCTTATCTATGTTCTGTTCAAACCTTTTTGAGTGATCTTTAGCAGTATCTTGCTTGCATGTGTTATCAATGATCAATGAATTGTTATCGAACAATTCTTTTGGTAATCCATGGCATATTAAAAATTCTTCACCAACACCACAATTCATAAGCATCAGTTAGTTCTTCCAGATTCCTTCTTCATTGTCCAACTTCCATGTACATATAAAATGATGGAAATACTATGTCTTGGATTAGGTGTACCTTACCATTTAAACTGACATTCTTGCTTTTAAAAGAGGTCTAAAGAAGTATATTTGCCCAGTGCAATATGTCATTTGATTTCTTGACTTCTGCTTTTATGGGTTTTGTTTATGGATGTTAGTAAAATGAAATCCTTGACAAATTCAGTCTTTTCATAATTTATTATGATACAGTTTCTTGGTCCAGTTGTGAAGATACACGTTTACATTTTCTTGAGCTAGAATTCATACAGAGTGCTTTAGTCTAAGAGTTTATCAGAGCTGTCTACAGACTGACCCTTCAGCAGGCTTCCAGAGATTTTAAATCACACCGGAGGAGACTACATATCTTTTTCCTGTAGAGCAGCTAGTGAATTCAAACAACTGGGCTTTAATTTGGCAGTGCAGCTCCTTACCCCTAGGTCACTAGATTTTTTTCGTTTCCTTGATGGCTAATTTTCAAGTCAGGGTTTATTCATTTGTGTTTAATTGAGAATAAATAACTAGACAAATGAAAAAACAAAATTGGAGCAGTATGCTATCATTTAAAGAGTCATGGTAGTTAAATGGCAACTGAAAGGTCAGAGGTTCAAATCTACTACACACCTTTTGGGAGAAAGCTGTGGCAGTGTGCTTCCATAAAGATTAATAAGGGCCTTGGAAAACTGTGTATCAGAAGCAGCTGCTTGACAGTGTGTGGGTGTTCTTTTAAGTTCAGGTTTCTTCTAGGCAAGAAGTGCATGACCAAACTACAGAGGCTGTGTCTCCCTGGCTGTTCAAATCCACCAGTGGGAAAAAAACGAGCGATCTCATCCCGTGCACTTTTCAGCCTTGCAAACTCAATGTCTTATTCCATAACAATGAGTTTTCATTTTTAAACAGCCTAGGGATGTGGTATAAGAAATTGAATCTTGGTGTCTTTTGTTAACTATTCTTTCTAGGACATCCAAGGAAAAGCTGTTTCTTTAATCTTCTCTAATATTTAAATTGCTTTTGGGTTGGCAGTGCAGCTCCTTACCCTCTAGGCCAGCAGACTTTAAACAAGGACAGCTCTGTCTTTCCAATTCATCTTATCTGCTGTTTGAGGCAAATTTCATGTTGCCTGCTGGACAGTCAGTTCTTTATACTGTTCACTATAGTTTTAAGTGAAGCTGATAATAATGTTCTACCAAACACAAAATATCTAAGAAATTTCACAACTTTTTATTTTTTAAGAGCTTCTTGGAAAGACTGAAAAACTGTGGAAGTTAACCTGAAGTTTTCTTTTGTTTTAGAATCTCGCCAAGGGCGGAATAAAGAGTGCATCACTGAAGGATTTATGTCTTGAAGACAAAAGACGCATTGCAAACTTAATCAAAGAACTGGCCAGGTGAGATGAAACATTACATGAAATAAGCTAATATATTGTTGATATCATGGAAGAAAATCTTACCAAAAAAAGGATTTTGCAAATATTTCTGTGATATTTTTGAAAAACCTCAAAAAACCACAAGATTCAAACTTATTCTGATTGTTTTTGTTTGGTAGAAATCTTTGCAGTATCATCTATTAAATGGAATATCTTGAAATTTTGCCCTTAAAGTAGGTTGATATTACCAGTCGAGTTGGGACTGACCCATAGCTGATCCTCCAGTGAAATTTCAGAAGCAATAAATCACATGAAAGGACATTGCCCATCTTTCTCCCATGGACCATCGGGTGGATTTGAACCATTTGCCTTTGGGATTGCAGTACAGCTTCTTAAGTCACCTGACCTCCCCAATTAGAAGCAAAGAAGTTAGAATTCATTTTACTTCAACATCTTATCAGAGAGGAACATTTTATTTTAATGTATTATAAGAAAATTTGTTGTTGTTTCAATAAATTTTCTGCCCTTCTAATAAAGAAGTTTGAGTTTTGAAAATTTTACTTCTTAGCTGTTTGGGAGCTTACTAGTGTATGTATGTATGTGTGTGTGTATATGTGTGTGTGTGTGTATATAACATATATATGTATATGATATTCTCTATATGTTTAGTTTGCTAATTTGTTTCCTCATTAGGTCTTAAAGAATACTTACTAGACGAAAATTACTGTAGAGAAATATAGGAATCCTTGGGTATTGCAAATGGTTAAAATGTTCTGTTGCTAAGCTAAACGTTGGAAGTTTAAGCTCATCTGACACACTTTGAAAGAGAGGATCGCAGATCTAGTTTTAAAAAATTAAAGCCCTTCAAGTGCAGTTCTATCCTCCAGTAGCATTAATAGCGTTCTTTGGTGCACAAAATGTTATTGTACTGAAGTCCAATTTATTTATTTACTCTTTGGTTATTTATGTTTTTAGTGTCATATTTGAGAACCCATTATAAATAGCAAGGTCTTGATGTTTACCTCCATGTTTTCCTATATGGGTTTGACTCTTTTAGTTCTTGCACTTACGTCATTAATCTGTTTTGAGTGAACTTTTATATACGCTGTGAGGAATGCATCTGACTTCATTCTTTTTTATTTGGAGTTCTAGTTATATTGTCTTCCTTTGCTGATGAGATGGTTCCCCATTGAGTGGACTTTGTTGAAAAATAGTTGGCTGTGGGTTTGTATCTGAACCCTCAGTTCTGTTCATTACATAGATGTCTATCTTACCAGTACCTCACGGTTTTGATTATTACAGCTTTTTATTATGTTTTCAAATGGATAAGTATGAGCTCTTCTACTTTGTTCTTCCTTTAAAAGGTTATTTTCACTGAACTTTGCATTTTTTAAATTAATTTGAAGTCCAGCAGGTTTTTATTTAATTTTCTCTTTTCTAAATAGCAGTGTTTTATATAACTTTGGTACACATTAAATCTAAGAAATTAATGTTGGTATAGTATTCGTAATGGACTTTGTCTTTTTCTGTGTTTTCAAAACACTATCCTTCTTTTCAGTCCAGGATTCAATCAGGATGTCACGTTGAGTTTAATTGTTGTGTCTCTTAATCTACACAACCTGTGATAATTTCTTAGTCTTGTTTTTCAAGTTCCTGGTTGTTAGGAAAATCTCCATCAGGCATTTGTAGAATGTCCCTTATTTCCTTGAGTTCATTTTGTTGAAATGTTTCACATTTATACTTTGTATAGAAGAAGGAAATGAATAAAAAGAGGAAATGAAAACTAAAGATAAAAAGTGTTCTTTTTTGTGTGATGAGCCTTTATATGAGTTTCCTTGCTTAAGAATAACTGTGTTGCTTTGTACTATAATGCTTTGTTTCCAGCTCATGGCATATGAAACAAAATAAAACTCTGAATCTTTTGTATTCTGCATACCTTGCTAGAACATGGCTTTTTTAAATGAATAGATTTTTGAGTAAATGGAGAATAATGATAAAGTATTAATAGAGGATGATTTGATAGCTGAAGTTTTCATGTTGTTTGCATTTCTAACTAACCAGAAAAGATAAAATATGAAAAATGAAGGATGTTTCCGTTTTGATAAAGATCAGACTAAATGGAAAAATATACTAGTTGATTTTAAAAAATATGTCTTTTCATTTATGGAGTTTTATGACATATTTATGCATAGCATACTTGGAATTTTAGCTCTTATGCAGATACAGTAGCATTCCTTTGGAGGAAAAAAAATAGCTTAGAGTACATTGTCCTTTACAAGCGTATTTTCAGAAGAATGTAGTATTCAGGATTCAGGAGCCCTCAGCACATCATGAGAAACAATTTCTTTTCTTTGAAACATAAAGGCATTCTTAGAAAAGCTTGGCCTTTTTATTAAAACAGGACTTTCACTTTAGCAATATTAAATGGAAAAGCTGTGTGCATCTATATGGCAAGTGTAACTTACCTGTATCTTGGAGGGATCCATTGAGGCTGTGCTTGTGAGAACCTCTAGTTCATATCTTCTTTGGTGCTGTGGTGAAAGACTAAAAAGAGATGTCTATAAGGTTTATTGATGATTCTAAGTGAGAATTTAAGTTGCAACGTCTTGAAAGAATTACTTACTAAGGTCCTTCTCAAGATATTTATGGTCTTCTCTCCCACAAAATAATTGAGTGGGACTATAAAAATAGGTAGTATATCCACTAAGGAGACTGAGCAGTCTTGAACCTGGAACCCTTGAAGGGGTTGTTGTCAGTTACTCTCAAGTTGCCTATGACTCCTGGTGATCCTACGAAGAACAATGAATTTTGCCCTGTCCTGTGTTATTATGCCTGAGCCTCGTGTTACAGTCACTGTGGCAATCCAACTTGTTAATCATCTTCTGCTCTTTATCTGATCCTCCTTTCCCGACAACATCTGAAAATAGGTGAGACAAAGTTTGCCAGTCTTACATCTAAGGAGCAACCTGGTTGCACTTACCTCAAGATAATAACAGCTGTTGTCTTGAGTGTTGATTGTAGATCCAAGTAAAATGAAATAATTTCATTAACAACTTAAATCTATCCAGATTTAAAAAATCTATCTCTTTGTCCAATTGGGAGGATGTTTGTTTTCTTAACGTTGCCTTGAACAGTGATGAAAGGATTGTAGAAGCACAGTTCAGATGTATATAGGTTTTGCATGAGCACAGGTAAGTGTTCTGGAATTCCCACTCTTTTCTTTGTTACTTGTAATTAATTTGTTGTTATCCACACAGCTAAAATGTCTTTGCATTATCATTAAAACAGAATATTTTTCTTTTATTCTCTGCTTTCAGCCAAAGTCCATTTGACATCAGCAGTGACTTCCCACATTTCACAGACTCTTTGGAATCCAGCTTGCATTTCTGGCAGTCCTCAGTATACTGTCCTAGCTATTTTTTAAGAAACTTCAGCAAGATTTTACTTACATGTGATATTATTAATGATATTGCACAATAACTTGCACATTTTATAAGATTACCTTTTTTAGGAGTGGGTACAAATATGGTTTTCTTTCAGTCAGTCAGCTCGTAGCTGTCTTCTGTATTTGTTTGCAGAGATCGATGACCATATATAAAGTTGCATCCATTTCCTGAAATACCTCAATTGATAGTCCATAAATCTCTGGAACCTTATTTTTTGCCGATGCCTTTAGTGCAACTTGAATTTCTTTCTTTAGTACTCTTGGTGCTTGATTATATGCATTTTACTGAAGTGATTCACTGTTGACCAACTCTTTTTGGTACAGTGATTCTGTATATTCCTTTCACATTCTTTGATGCTTTCTGTATCGTCCAAAATTTTGCACTTAGAATTATTCAGTCTTGCCACTTGAGGCTTGAATTTGTTCTTCAGTTCTTTCAGCTTGAGAAATGCTGAGCACATTTGTTCCTTTTGATTTTCCAACTCTGACTCCTTGGCATTTCATTACAATACTTTGTCTTCTGGAGCTGCGCTTTGAAATCTTCTGTTTGGTTCCTACCTCGTCATTTCTCTCCCTTGTTTTGGCTTCTTTTCATTCTAAGGCGAGTTTCAGGGTTTCTTTTGACATCGATTTTTATCTTTTCTTTCTTACCTATATTTGTAGTGACCGTTTGCTTTCTTTCATGGATGATGACCTTGACTTTATCCCACAACTCTTCTGGTCTTCAGTCATTAGAGTTTAATGCATCAAATATATTCTTTTTTTTTTAAGTATACTTCTTTTTTTAAAATTTTTTTAAAATTTTATTATTTTGTGTGTGTGTACCATCAAATCAGATCTGACTGGTACAGGAGGAGATTACCCCTCCTTCTCCAGCAGAGCATCTGGTGAATTCAAACCACATACCTCTGGGATTTCAGTGCAGCTTCTTGCCACTAGGCCACCAGAGCTCCCTGCATCAAATATATTCTTAAGATACTTTTAACTTCTGTTGAAATACATTCAAGGTCACGTTTTGGTTCTTGTGGACTTTTTCATTTTCTTCACCTTCAATTTGAGCATATGAGTAGTGGATTATCTGTTCCAGAGTCATCCTCAAGCCTTGTTTTGATTGTTGATTCTAAACTTTTTTAAATGTTTCTTTCTACAGATATAGTCAATTTTATGCTTGTGTAGTCCATTAGGTGAAGTCTATTTGTATGTTTTTTTAAATGTTAAAAAATATATTTGCAATGAATAAATCATTAATTATACAAAATTCTGTCATTTGATCTCCATTTTTATGTCTGTCACCAGAATCTTATTTTCCTACTATTAGGCCTGTTTTCCCAAATTTTGTGTTCTAGTGACAAATAATTGTAAATGTGTCTTGTTGGTATGTTCTATAAATTCTTCATCTTTGGCTTTTATGGCTAGTGTTTATATTTGAATAATTGTTTTGACAGAACTTTCTTATATGTGTATGGATAATGTTGTTGTGTACAATTGAATTGGAATTAACCCATAGTTGACTCTCCAACAGGTTTTCAGAGGAATTACATCGCATGGCAGGAGATTGCCCATCTTTCTCCCACAC